CCTGACTCCTTTGACCAATTCTCCTGTAGCACTCTGCCCTCTTCTCCCATCTCTTGATAGAGGGTTTGGTAGCAATGGCAAGAGGAAGGCCAGCCTCTTTCCTTGAAAGTTCTATCTATCTACTGTGGCCATTGTGCCCTCTACTTCCTCCCTGAGAAGGGTGAGGCTTCTCAGCTCGTTCTTGTTGCGCAAGGCTACTAGAAAGTCCAGCCTCAGCTCAAATCTCTACAACCTCGTGGGCTGGATCCTTCCTCCTTGTACTACTGCTGATTGCTGCCAAGATTGGAAAAAGGAGGTGATGAAAAAGGAAGCACTAGTCACACCAAAACAAAAGTTCTGCTGGGTCCTTTGCCATGATTCAAGGCACCTTAAATCAATAATTGAAGAGAGCTATTGATTGATAATACTTACAGCAGTGAGAAAGGCTGAGTATAGATGCTTCAAATACAGCAATTCTTGTGGTTGATTGCAGAATTGGGGGGTCATAGTGATATTGATCAATATAAATGTACACTGATAAAKGATTAAAAATGTACTATTTAATTATCTTTCCTTTGAAAGCCAATGCTATACAATAGTAGTAGTATCAGGAGTACTGGTCGCAGGGCCCCAAATATTGGTGGAATAATGTCACAATAATTATCAGTAGATATCATTTTGCGAGCTGTTTTCTTGTGTCAAAGTGCTGATTGCCTCTTGTCATTTTAATATAATTTTGTGTGATTTCTTATTGTTTCTAGCAACTGAGTGATACTGAAAAGATTCCAACAACCACCAGCACTCTAACTGTTCTTGCAAGCAACAGCAAATACTAGAAGTACTAGTAATGGATATTTTTTTGTGATGGCATCGTTTTCAATGAATGTCAATCTTGCTTGTCATTAAGTATTGGTGTTGATAACTGATAGCTGTGTTTAAATTAAATGAATAATTGCTACTACAACTAGCACTAGTAGATATGCAAGATAGTCCCAAAATGTTAACAGTTCTCCTTCTTCTTGATTCCTGCACCAATCCAGATTTTCTGCATCACTAAATCAACGATGCCATCCATCATCAGTGTTGAATATCATGCAAAATTTACATAGGTAGTTTTGAAGACCACTTCTCCTTATTTCCTTATTTCTCAGCAGGAGTGTCATTTGCAAACCAGCATGCTGAAACTGGGGAGCATCCTCACCTTGTACTAGTAGTACTAGTAGTAGCACCAGTAGAGCTCTGTAGAACAATTTGTACTGAAAACCTTAGTAGTATGGGATCATTGACATGGAATCATTCAAGTAATATCTTCCTTGTTCTTAACATTTTTTTCTGTAACTTAATTGACTCATGGAGGTTGTAGATATGCATACCCATGTTAGTCCAATAGAAAAAAATAAAATTTGATAGAAAAATGTGCTTCCMGCAGGCAGGTGTTATAATTTCGAACCCTTGCTTTTTGGCTTGCAAMAAAAGCTACAAGAGAGGAGATTCGAACTCCCGACCTCATCCGTTTTCATCATCATYATTGTGAAGGACGCGTCATAACCAACTAGACCACTCCTGCTGCTATWKTCGCWTGAAACTTTTCRATATACTAARTACTATCGAATTTGTATGAAAATTGTCAGATGGAAATAAGCAACGTACGGTATGTACGTACTTCGACGTACTTTACGCAGGGGTCATGATTTAAAATATGACCATTGGCCGTACGTACGTACTACCAGAAGGTACGGTACAATATCCGGTACAGATCGATTCGGATTTTAATTTTGTTCCGTGAAATGTATGAATGACTTCTCAGACGTTGATATTTACAGTAACACTTTCTTATTTTGCAATCCTTACTTTCTTGCGAAGAACGAAAACCAGAAACCTACTACAAGTACGAAATTGTGCGTGACTTATGAAACATCGACACCCTCGTCAAAAATATAAGGTACTGTGGTTGTCAACAATCAGCTTTGCAACAGCTTCATGAAAACTTCCTYGCGTAGGTCCAGCTCTACCCAGCTCTCAGACCCTCTGCTACGCCCCATGTTAAATTGAAGATTTCTTGACTTCAATGAATGCAGTGCAAGGCATTTCAAAAATCCTGTTCAGAACACCGGAGACGTTGCATATAATTAATTCATCCTTAGTAGCCCTCATTCATGCACCAACAAACTGTTACTCTGTAATACCTACAAAATTTGTTACATTTTTTGATACTCACGTGAAAGTCATTGGAAACATCGAAAGAGATGCGGTAGGTCTTTATTTTAATGAATGGAAAAAAGAAGCGGGAGGAGTAAATGTGACACCCCTATGAAAGCGCAAGTTTACCCTAGGGGCATTCCCCATTTAGTATAAGCAATGCGTCTGTTCTTCTTCAATCTTGGTGACATTATTTTTAAAGTCCGACATATAATCAGTAAATTCAAGTGTCACTCGAACTCCCAACATCCAACAAATGCACTGCCTCGGGATTTCTCTTGATTTCCAAATGGTCACGTAATTCTTTCTCGGAATTGGTGTGTGTTTGATCAAAAACAACTCTTTCGCCGTCATCAATGTTCAGATCTGTGATTGACTTTCCGGTAGAAAGCATGCTATCGTACATTACTTTTGCAAAATTGCTTGTTGTATGAACTAGCACATCACACATTTGAGCTATTTGGAAAGTTGATAACAATGCAATAAATTCTTCCTCCGGAGTTTCTGATGGCAATTGATTCTCCCACCCTCCCTCGCTTCCTCGGAATCTTTTCCTTTCCAGGTACATCCAATTGTATTCAGAATGAAACTCACGAGCTTCGAAGATAGCGTTTGCGTCGTCCGTAAAGAGCCACACATCCTTAATGTTACGATGTGTTTCGTTGAGTTTTCTCAAATAATCTTCGATAGGGTGGTACTTCCTTGAGAAATCCTGGTGAAGTACAATGTCGCTTCTTCTCACATGGATCGCGGCACACCCGTTTGTTTTTGGTATGTTTGCTGTTGCATCTGACACATATTTCAGGACTCTTTGACGAAGCCACTGCTGTGGGCGTGTTGCATATTCTCTGAACCACGCCCTATTTGAATCCATATATTCATATTGGTCTGCGTCTATGTGTGCTGTGGACTTGTTCGASAAATTCAATACCGCCGGTGGACATATGCCAAGTGGCAAGAAGTAACAAAACATGTCTCCCGACGGGCACACAGGTTTTCGATTCTTTCGAAGGTGTGATTTAAACGCAGCATAGTGCCATTTGTCTCCAGTGAGTTCTGTCATTTGAAGTGGTCTGCCAGTCACCATTGCATGTGCCAAGCCCGTCGCCACGTTCTCCATGTCTGCTCCATAGCCCGAGCTGAACATATATTTTGTGAACACATTGTCACAGTTGGATTCGTTGTACTGAATGGCATGCAACTCTCGGAAGAAGGCAGCCTTTTCCTCGTTTTTCATTTTTTGGAAGCATAGTTCGTCTTCGTTCGTCGTTGACGATTCCCAGTCAGGATGCATTGCCCACCAATCATCAGAATCTTCGGTGCCGTTCCAACGGAAGCAACGTTGGTCACCGCTTTCACGACCATTTCTTCTCACAGCACGAMTGGCCTCACCGTTCAATTCCATCACTGYTAACTGATAAGAATTTAAGACCGGAACAACGTACCGGGACATCACCAGAACAAGCCAACCTGCCAACGACAGGGAGTAAACTATGCCATGAAAGGAGCGAAACCGAACACTACTCATCTTCGTGTAGTTTCTCGTGCAAGAGTAGAGCCTGGATAGAGTGGATGGGGAGAAAAGAGAAGTCAATGTGCCAACAGAATCATGGTGTCGAAGTCGAGCACCATACTTGTACGACCTTTCGGTTTTGACTCTCGATTTTKTAGCCAACCGCCCGACTCAAATGCGATCTCTCTTGTTTTTTTACTGTAAGGTGCGTACCGTACTGTGTACTATGTAACCCAAATTTCAYAATTGCCTATGATAGAAAACCGAGTTTCAGATCGATTCCCGCTACCAAGGTGCCATACTTATTACTTCTACMGGTACATATTTTCGTCATTTACTGTAAGTAATAAGTACGGTAAATTGTAAATCAAACTTTTTATGTTTCCTCTCGCATATGCCCGCACCCTCCAAAAAAGAAAGAGCATATTTACTTTCTCCAAGTAGGATTTGTACTGGTGTCTACATAGGTTCAAGAAGAGAATAATAAATACCCCTTGTAGGTGAGAATCAACTCTCGAAACCTGAAAAAAATTCATTTGGGGCGTTGGGGCGGAGTTACCGATATGAAAAAGACTGGTGTAACTTTGATTTGGCCACATTCCAAGGGAACCTTCCTTGATACCGTACGTAACGTACGAGTACTGTAAATGAAAAGAGAAACGAGTCATTAGATATCGTATCATACCTATACTATGCAGGTACCATACCGTAGGGTCTACTTGAAACTTTATGCGTGGCATCGGTATTACTGTAATACTGAATTGCTGTGAACCAATCAAAACACGTTGAAGTATTGTTATCGTACTACTGTACTTGCTCGGCTGGAGTCATATTCAATTTTTAGAACCTCAGCATCATAAAAGTACGAGAACGTACCACAGTCTTAGATTTTCAGCGTCCCACAGAAAACAAGAACCTCAAAAATTGTCGGGCTTCCAAACATTATTGCCGCAGAGGTGCAAAAGAATGTGGAATTATTGCGAAAGTAAGACGGTGGCTCAGATCCTTTAAAATTTTTCGCCATTGAATACAAAGAACGTCACAGAAAAGTACGTACCATACCGAAGGGCAGGTGTCAGAGACTAATTCACTCAAGTGGAAGTACGAGTACGTACKTATAGTACTAGTTAGYACGAGTGGAGTATCCTACATTCAGGTMCTTACAGTAGCACGTAGGCCTATTTTTGTATTGTGACTCTTGACTCTTTTCTGAATCCTTCAACAAAAAATCTTGCGTACGAGTATCGGACGATACTATCGAAAGCTGTTCTCTTTTCGCTCGGTTCAACGTAAGAGTGTATTCTAAGAAACTGTTGTTGCGATCGGGCAAGTATTATGCTTCAAGTACCGGTACCGCAGATGAAGTTATATTTCGATTTCATTCCAAAATCAAAACGAAAGCCCTTTTAATTAAAGTAATTCCACGATGCTCTCCATCCGACTTCCAGCTCTTTTCCTCTTTTTGATGACGGCTGTGGCTGTCGAAGCAACAGACATTGTCATGAAAAAGTAAGTCAATTTTGTAGTCTGCCATGTCGTGCAACCCAATCTTCGTGCCTAGACATTGTCTAAGACATCTTGCTAACTGCCGTATCCACCACGACCCATTGCATGCAGAAACCAAAAAATCAAGAAGAAAGGTCAATTTACGTATACCTACGACAACGATGTTGCTAACAAGTGCGAAACAGTTCTTCTAATCGGCGTTGGAACCGCCATGACAACAACGGCCTACAACATACTTTCTGAGAAGACTTCCGCAGGCGCACCTGTTGTCACCGTTTTCTTCGACGCCAACCCTGGCAACATTGTGAAGACTGGTAACAAAAAATACGCCAATTTCTACAATGCTTTCATTGAAAACTTATCTGAGTATGTTCCGGTTTGCGAGGGTAAATCCCCGAAATTTATCGCTGGGGGCCATAGTGGCAGCGGTCGAGCTGGGCTCCAAGCCATGATGCACAATGGTATCAAACCTGATGGCTACATTGGGCTTAGTCCTTACCAGGCCTCTGCAAAGAAGATTTGGGGAATCGGGCCAGGTGCAGCCCCTGCCACTTCGATCGATCCAAACCGTCCGGTATTGACGTGGGGGTTTGAAAGGCAAACATGTGGTGTTGATCCGGCTATTGCTGGGAAATCCGAGTACAAACTTTCTGGAGAAAGTAACCGGGTCTTCTATCGGATTGATAATCAAGACACTCGATCTGTCGGACACTGTGAGTTCACTGATTCTGGATGTTTTCCTGTCCCCATCCCCAATTGTCCCGACCCCAAAAACGATGACGTCAAGGATGTTGTGGCCGAGGCTATTCAGGCGTTTGCCGCGAGTGTGTCGTCGGGAAGCATTGACAAAAGCAACTTCGACTTTGACACAGCAAATCCCTCCGTACCGATCAGCGTCTTCGTGAATTCCGAACCCGAAGTTCCACCTTCGTAAGCAGAGCTTTAAGCGACGTTTATAAACGAACAAGCAAGAAAACAAAAGTGATTGTTCTAGTAATCAAATCGAACGATATTTCACTACACATTTCATGTTGTAGATAGTTAGATTCTTTCGTTGTCCCTGCATAATCGTACCCACACTACGGTATCATGCAGAGCGAAGGAGTTTGTGATGCGAACGCTCGTCTTCTCATCAACATCTGACACGGTTGTTATTATTCATTTTTACCTCCTGGGCGTCTCACTGATAATGTCATATGTTGAAATGAAATTCTTCCAAGGCAGTACTTCGAGTTCGAGTACGAATTCATGTGTTTGTTAAACTCAACAAGTCGAAGCTGGATAATAGTAGTAATGCTATCACACTATCGTCCAATACGGGCACATAATCTCATTGCATTTTTTCTTTTCTTTTYTTTYCTTTTCTTTTTCCGGCGACCTGGAAGCAGAGGCCAGGAACTTTCACGAGTCAGCACCGCATTCACTATCTATTTATCATTGACATCGTTGCTCGATGCTTACGACCTTTTCTTTTCAGGCTGTCGACAACCACTCGGTACTTTTGCAGAACCAGATGGTCGGTCCTTTCTTCGTCGCGTTGTGGCTATCTTGATTTGTATCGGATTTATGAATTAGACTCATTCATTTCTTCGCTCTCGAGGTCTTCATACTCGCCTTGTTTTCAACCCCGRCCACAAGTTTATTTTMACAGTCAGGCCTCGATGCCTTTTCAACAGCTTGCAACACCTTTTTGACGCCCGAGGTTATGCCCACTTCAGCCATGTCACTTTTGCTCATCCATCGAACATCCTTGCCCGAAGGACTTCTCCATTCGAGATCGCATTCCTCGAGACAAACCTCGGTGAGTTGCCCCACTTCCACCCACATGTAGTGCTTAACGTGACTGAAAATGTGTTCCATCGGTTGTTTATTGGCGACGAAGTCAATGCGTGAAACGTTAGAAACGGCGGTGGCAACTTCGTCGTTCGGATAGTCTAGAAGCAAGTCATCGACAAGAAATTTCGTCAGGGCTTGCTCACGCTCCGCTCTCTTTGGAATTTTTGTTGTTGGCTCATTTTTGGTGATGCCATTCTTTTTCTTATCTCTCTTCCGTGTTTGGATACAGACATTTGGAAATTCCCATTGTCCAGCCAGCAACCCTTCCTTTGGACGTTTTACCATGAGATAACGAATCGAAGCACAGTCGTTTACACCTTCCGTTTCGCAGAGGTGGAATAGGACCACAACAGCGAGGTCTTCTTCTCGTTTATCTTTTTTTGGGGGGTCGGCTGGAAAGGCAGCATGGCCAACCATGGCGGCTTGTTCCGTCGTCATACCATTCGCAGTAATCGATTCCTTAAATTTTTGGAGAATTGTTTGAATTCCATCAATATCACAAAGTACACAGTGGTTCTCGGGGGCAGACAATGATCTGAATTCATAACCATTTATTGTTCCGTCTTGCACGGCTGCCAGATAGGCACGACCGAGGCGTGTGCTTAGGTAATAGTCTCGGAGAGGATCACGAGGGTCGACTCCGCTTCCTGCTGGTGCACAGTATGTTGCGCCCAATTCCATGAGGGCTTGGTTGACCAAACCAGGTGAACTCCCATYCCCGGCCTCGACAATCTGTGTCGCCAGTTTCCATCCTAGCTTGTCCTTGAGAATTGGATTCTTGATGTGGTTGGCAATGCCCGTCAATCGCGACAAAACCCTGCAAACRTTGCCATCAACAACGGGGACACATACTCCAAAGGCAATGGAGGCAATGGCGGATGCCTTTGATAGAATAAAAGGGAAAAGATATCAATACTCATAGATAATCATTTGAAAGAACACTCGTGTATTCTTTCCTCCTACCAAATACAACAGCCAAACAGTATTYGATACACGTAACACAGCACACATACCGTATATGGTCCGATGCCAATAATTTTCGACAATTCTTTGGGTGTTCTGGGTAATTCTCCGTTGAGTTCTTGAACTACGAATTTGGCTCCCTGGTGCAAATACCGGGCTCTTCGATAAAACCCGAGGCCTGCCCAGTGAGCGTTGACCTCGTCTTCGGTGGCAGCGGCCAGATCATACACGGTAGGAAAGGATTTCATCCCTAGTTTGTACATCGTTAACGTATTGAGTGGGGGTAAATCGAGGTCAGAAGATGTTGTGATTCCTCAAACAAAAGACATATCTTTTGCTGGTTCGGTACTTACAATTGATCCAGAATGGAATCACAGCTTCTACCCTAGTTTGCTGCAGCATGATTTCACTGACCCACACCCCATATCCAGTAACGGGTATTGCTTGCGGGTCGACCTCCAACAAGCTATCTTTCGACGGTTCGGTGTCATTTTCTATTTCTTTCAGTCCAGATTGTGTTTTTTCCCTTTTTATTTTGGCAAAAAAGTGTTTTATGGATTTTTGGCGGTCGTCGTGGTTTGCTTTCCTGGTTTTCTTTGTAGTATTAACAGTAGCTGCTGTTGTGTTGGCGTTTCCTCTGCTGCGTTTCTTGTTGTTGCAGTTGATTCCCGATGTGCTCCCATCAAAGGGAGGAGGGTCCCCGCGCCACGGCAACTTTCGTCGGTGTATTGAGTACCAGTCGAGAAGGGCCGACCGAATCTCAGCCGCCCGATCCTCCGTAAAATTGTGGTAGTCGGCATGGGAATGATTGATCCAGGAACGGAGGAGGAGCCGATCGTCCTCAATTAGATCCTGTGAGAGTTCTCGGTTGTTTTCTGTTTTTATTTTTTTGGAACGGTTGCGTGTTGCTGTACGGGGAACCCGTGGATTGGATTCGGATTCAATTTTTCCGCGGGTCTTGGAATCCCCGTGGCTGTCACCGCTGGAGATAAACGTTCTCGTCGTCGACGGCAATGACGACACCATCCGTTGCCGTCGTGTTGCAATCGGCATAATTCTTTGAGAAGAGGTAMAACGCAAAAAGGGGGCGTGGACGGACGGATTTGACACCAATGACAACGATGACCACCGAGGTGCTAGCGCCAGTGTCGGTATTCCTGCTCTTAGGATCAGTGCTTCTGATGCAACGAATACTAGTCGACGGAGAATCGTCATCATCGTCATTGTTTTCACCATCACCACAGATAAACGAAGATCGTTGTTGTTTGTGAGGCTAAATCCCGAGTAGCTAGTGAATAACCTCACTCCTCTATTGTAAAACTTGCGAAAAATGCATACGTAGAATAATATTTATAGGTATGATAAATAGGTATGATAAACACGTACGGTAATAGTTTAACCAGATTTACTACTAGTAGCAGTAAATCACCAGTTTAACCAGATTTACAACTAGCAGTAAATCATYTGCGGTATGAACCTATGGTGTACCGTACGTAGTACGTAGCACGCACTTAGTAATTYATGCTTCTGCTAGTAGTATCTGAAATTACTACTACGATGACAAGGCAGCCCCTGCACCACCAAGCAGAGGATTTCTTATTCTTGCAGCTAAGATGAAATGGTCGAAGAATACAAGGGAGGAGCCTGATTGCCCAACAAGGCAGATCTTGCTTGGATCTACTAGTAGTACTAGTAGTAGCTAGTACTACTAGTAGYACTAGTAGCATGGTGGATCACAAGTCATGTGCTGGTGTGGTGCTCGGTCTTGAGGGAGAAATGGTGCCCCCCTGGATCTGTTGCTGGAGAAAGAAGTAGTAGTTAGTGGTTGTTTACCAAAGGCAATACTGATTGCAAATCTACTGTTGCTGCTATGGACAAAGAAGTTACCAAGGACAAGAACAACTATTCTAATTTTATGAAGCACCATGCGTTTAGTACTAAGAATGAAGTATTTCTTGTTACTGAAAGACTACTAATAGTAGATGTGGAAGGGAAACTTCTTTGTACTCATTCAATTAGAAAGTTTTCAACAAGAACATATGTCAGGCAGAGTGATGGGGCAAGGGATGATGTTGATTATAGAGCCAAATGAAAGTCTCTTACGCAACAGGATTGATACACTGCTAGGTAGCAGCTTGCATGGCCTGACATGAATATTGCACCAAAGCTTTGCTTTGGAGGTATTTGCAACTACTGTAAGCTAGTTGAGAACTGGAGTGACTGATGAATGTATAGTTGAATCTGTTGCCCCTGCTATTGCAAACGTCTTTGGGAATCAAGTTGCTGCCATTCCAGGAAAAGCTTTGCCTTGGGCTTGCTTTGAGCCAGCAATGGTGAAATTCAGTGGGTTGTTGCCAGATGATGTAAAGCGAGATGTCGTTGTTTCTGCTTGTTATATCCAGCTGAGCTTCTGGAATTGATAGATGATGATAATGCAAAACCTACTTTTGAAAGAGTGGAAAGCATTACTAAGGATATAGGAGGACAAGCACACTTTGACGGTTTAGCTGTTCCTGAAAGAAGAGCATGTTCAAATCATCATTTCTAGAATTGTAAACCTTGGGACAAACTCCCAGAAGATGTTGCTTATGCAACATACAGCAAGAATGCCAACAAATGCGCAATAAATGATGGCACATTTTCTGAGTTTCTCAAAACAACACATTCAAAAAATTAAAACAAGAGATTACCAGCAGATCACACCATCGTAATCAAGGCCTCCTCAAACCTAAAACTGCACATAGACAAAAATGAAAATACAGAGACATGCCAGAATTTCAGAAATGCCGCTTGCTAATTGCCACATCAGATGCTGACATTGTTGCAGGTACAAGCAAATCTTCCAAAAGGATAGATCTAATGCTCAAATTGTATGTTGGTAGACAACATATGTCACGTAGATGTTGAAAAGTCAAAAGCAAATGGAGTCATGTGTACATTCAAGTCTGTAAAACTAGTCCTTGAAGAAGGAGACTCAAAAAAAGGGATCACTTTGTCTTCTCAAAGCATGACAGCAAAAGTAACATTTTGATGTCCTCTGCAGGAGGAATATGAATCAAGAATTAAGAATTAGTACCAATCAAACTCAACAGCAAGTCACAAGGGAACACAATTATCTCAACTCCCAATTAATATTGCCAATGCAAGAGCTGTTCACAAATGACAGGGAAGATCCTTGGAATGTGTTGGTTTCAACTTGGTCTTACACAAGCAATTGGATTTATGTTGTGTTTTCATCAAGAGTTACACAGACCAGCACGCAACTTCTTGTTCCTCTTCCAATGGTGGTCTGCTGTTTGTAGAATAAGATCACCTCTTCTGCTTACAAGAAACAACACCAACAAAAACCATACCAAACATACACAACAAATCAGCAATTTCCATCCCTATTTCAGAAACAACAAAGAGCCACAGTGCTTTCATTGAATAGCTTCTAGTAGTACTAGTACCTACACATTCTTTTCAGAGCATAACTTCAACCTTCTTACTGGCACTAACTTAGTTTTTGCTCCGTAGAAACTATTTGCATTAGCGAGCCAATAGTACCGTACGGTACGATACAGTACTCCACTCCTATC